GGCCAGTGTGTTGTCACATCAAATTGAGCGCAGTTACTTTCTGCCTGTGTTTTCTGTGGAAGAATTTTGTTACATTTGGAAATTGGACCATCTTTTCCAGATGCAAGATTGTTGTACTTTTTTTTCGAAGCAATATGTGTACTGCCCGTAGTGAGCTTGATGTATGCCGGAACTGAATGTCATCTGACAAAGCGCAGTTTGTGTCATTCTAGGCTTTGATATGGATGACCCTTGTTTGAATCTGTAATGAAGACGGCCATTCTTAAATTTGAGTTGTTTGAGGAGTTTTTGATGGCTCAGTCCAATAGGAGATATAAGATAAGTCTGACATGTTGATGGGTATTGGGCCCATGCCATTCATAATGTGAGTGATGGAAGTCTGCACCATGTAGATGACTCGCATTGTGCTGTTTAAGCTTTTCTGCCGTAAGCTGACAAAATGCCCTTTTTTTTTGTTCATAGCAGTTTTAAGAAAAAGAGGGGTTTTTTGTCAGCGTGACCATATAAAAATAGTTTTTTTCCTAAATTTAAATTCTAATTTATTTAAAAAACTAGTCACGGTTTCACTTTGATTTTATCACGCAAGAAGTGTAATTGATCAGGCTTTCGATTTAGCAAATAAAAAAATGTTGCACCAAAATAAAAAAAGGCCTATCAGCTTTCGGCAGTTCTGGTCTTCTGTATTCTGGGACGGAACTCTTCCATAGAGTGTCATTTCTTCTGGGCATACAGTTGTGAAGAAATGTGAGGTGTGCTGACAAAATGAGTTACTGCTCGCAATTCAAGAATGGAGATATCAGCGGAAATTCGACACTGGAGACAGATTTATAGATTTTCAATTGATTCCATTATCTTCAAGTTAACTTGTCTTGATTATTTCATACGTATAAGTTGTACAAACTTCACATATAAATTTGAAGTGTAAATTTCCTTAGAGCTAAAATCCGAGAAATAGCTTATTTTGTCAGCACACCTTACAAATGTTTAGTAGGGTCAGAGAGTACGCTATTGCAGAGGAATAGGGTTGGGTCTCTGGCGTCGGTGGCTTAGTGGTTAAGCTCTCGGACTCGCAACCTTTAGGTCGTGGGTTCGAATCCCGTCAGGGGCCCGACGTTGTGTCCTTGGGAAAGGCACTTTGCACAAATTTTCCTCACTTCACCCAGGTGGAAATGGGTACTCGGCTATAGACAGTGAACGATCTTGTCAGTTTGATAGTGTTTGAGCGCGTGAAATCCGCAGCTTGCACTGTATGCTTCCGCGGAAGCCGAGTATGTTTCTGAGTGTTCTCAGAGGGTCTGCTGGGGTAACAATAGTTGTAAAGCGCATAGAGCATGCTCTTGAGTATGGATATGCGCTATATAAATGCAATTATTATTATTATTATATTATAAAGTTTTATGGCTGACAATGGTTTGAATTTCCAGTAGGGTTTTCTGAGCTGGGGTTGTTTTGGGGAATTGTTTCTAAGGCTCTCCTCCCATTTGATTGGGGAGATGAATGGCATTGACAATGTAGATGTTTTTGTTGTTTGATGCTGGGTCATATTGTGCTTTAGATTGCTTAGTTGTTGTTTTTTTTGTATTGTTTGTTTGTGTGGTACATAGAACTTCATTAGTCCAGTAGTGTTCATGTGGCATGTAGAGTATACATGAAATGTATAATATGTGGGAGTACTGAAAGGGTTGATATAGCTGACACACTCTGTTCCACAAGTTTGGTAGAGACGTTTTGCTTTTGCTTGTCTTACTGTGACTTGGATATATATATACACACAAAAATACACTTATGACAGTACGAGAATAATCCTTTAAAATCAGTCTTGTGTTTGATTCAGATTGGTTTGAAATAGATAGTGTGAAGTGATTCAGATTGGTTTGAAATAGATAGTGTGAAGTGATTCAGATTGGTTTGAAATAGATAGTGTAAAGTGATTTGCTTGTTTGTGGGATATATGCTGAGTGGCGTGTGTTGTAAGTTTGCAGATCTACATAGTACAGTCCAGTTCTATTTGAATCCCCATAAGGGCTTTCTTCAACTAAGGTTGTTTTGAGACTGTCCTCCCACTGGGGCCTCTGACTTACTGGAGATGAACCTCTTTGAAGTAGGAAGTAAGAAATAAGAAAGTGTTTAGTCATTGTTTAAGGCTTTTGACTCGCATTACATAAAACATGCATTCTTTCTTTCTTGAAGTAGGAGGTCCTACGAGGATGTCTTTCAAAATGGAAGTCCTTCCTCTTCAATAGACTTAGGAAAGTCTGAAAGGTTCTTTACACCCATACCGCAATACACTCCAGATAGTATAACAGATATACAAGATATGCGACACGCCACCCCACCCACCGACTTCGAAAACTACAAAATTTAAATAAAACTTCTTCTGGGAGCAAAAAATCCACTTAAGACTTCAGGTTTTCACGACATAGATCAACGAAGGAGAAGCTGTTTGTATTATAAATTAGAATTTCAGAAATGTAGAAGTCTGAAAATTTGAGCCAAAAGTTCAGTAGTATTACATTTGACACTAGTCAAATAAAGCATCAGCAACGCATCATTTTTCTCTTGTATAGTTCTGGGATTCTTTTTATGCATTGTACACAATATTCGGCTTTTCTCATTTTTCATCAACTTTAGAACTTGCGTCTGTGATGTAGTGGTTAGGTGTTTCGTCATTGTTCACACTCATGAAAGACTTGGGTTCAATTCCAGTGTGGGAAGGGATTTTTTGTTTGTTTTGTACTCAAGTATCTTTGTGTTTCTGCTGGGATGTTATTCCGTCTCTGAGGTCTCAGCCTAGGGTGGCCCTGGCAGGCAGACTGAGGCAGACCACCTCCCAGATCATCTAAATTGTGTTAATGGGTGTGTAAAACATTTACTGGATACTATGATTTTTTAAATTTAAATCGACGGTGCTGTCTGCTTTACAGAACAAGATATAAAGAGAAGTACGAGATTGCATTTACCGTCATGTGTCCCCCACCACAGAAGGTTCGCACGAGTATGTAATTGCTCTATTGACCGGCTAGTTGGTTTTTTGGTTTTTTGGTTTTTTTCCCAATTTATCATCTTAGTTCCGCTAGAGACATGCACATGCAGTGTTGCCGTCTTTTGTAAACATACACATATGGCACTATCATGTGTATATTCCGTGAATACTGATTGCCAAGCAGCCATTCGTAGCTGTGTGGGCTGAGGAAAAGAGTGGTTTAGTTCCTTTCCTAAGATTACAACGCTTTATCTGGTGGAGCAGATAATGGAAGCCGCATCTTCTTCATTGTGAGTGCAGCACTTTAGACTAGGGCTCCCCCTGATTTTAAGTTTTGTAATTAACAAACTTGCAGAATGACAGACAGGGACTTTTCTGTATCTTACAAGTACATGTATTATGGCATTGATGATTGTCTAGAAAGTGGATCAGTCTGTCGGGACAGCACGGATATCTTGACGCTGTGAGAATGCAACTTTATACATACTTGGTTGAGTCAGTTTGTAGAGACAATGTGTGCCAATGCAATGTTTGGATGAGTCGGTCTGTACTGTAACGGCAAAATGCGACAATGCAATGTTTGGATGAGTCGGTCTGTACTGTAAAGGCAAAATGCGACAATGCAATGTTTGGTTGAGCTGGTTTATAAAGGCAAAATGTGTCAAGGGACAATGCAATGTTTGGTTGAGTCGGTCTATAAAGGCAAAATGTGACAATGCAATGTTTGGTTGAGTCAGTTTGTAGAGACATGTACCGGCGTCTGTGGTGTAGATGTTAGGTGCTCCGCTGTCTCGCTCAGGAGACCCGAATTCCATTTTTAAGTACGGAGAAATTTTTTATCAAGTATTTCGGTCTCTCACCTGGGATGTTGTATCATTCTCAGCCCACCGCCTAAGTTACCATAACTGTGTCGTTAGGGGCGTAAAGACACCTATGTACCTTTTAAAAAGACAACATGCGACATTTCAATGCTTGTTTGAGTCCGCCTGTAGAGGCTAAGTGACAATACAATGTTTGGTTAAACCAGTTTCCAGGGGCATGTTGCAATACATGTACATGTACTATGCTTAGCTGAATCATCTGTGGCGTCGGTGGCCTAGTGGTTAGGCTCTCGGACTCGCCACCGTAAGGTCGTGGGTTCGGAGTCCCGTCAGGGACCCGACGTTGTGTCCTTGGGAAAGGCACTTTACACGAATTTTCCTCACTTCACCCAGGTGGGAATGGGTACAATGTACCCGGCTATAGACAGCGAAAGATCTTGTCAGTTTGTTAATGTTTGAGCGCTTAATCAGCTGCTTGCACTGTATGCTTCCTGGGAAGCTGAGACTGAGAATGTTTCTGAGTGTTCTATGGTCTGCTGGGGTAATAATATAGTGTAAAGCGCATAGAGCCTGCTGTTGAGCGGGGATATGCGCTATACAAATGCTATTTATTATTATTATTATTATTATTAGAGACGTGTGGACACAGAGCACGCAGACCTTAAGCCGTGACTATGCAATGGGGCTGTGCTTACTACATGTAACAGACACACGTGTGTTATGATCAAAATCAAAGGCTGTTGTGGTGTGGACAGAAATAAACAAACGACTTTGGCGGGACTCTACACGTAATCCAATCGGGTTTATTGCTACAACTGTACTTGTATGTCTTTGATAAATGTTTTTGACTTTAAGCCGGGTCTCTGGGGCACTGTTTGAGCCACATTAGGTTAATATGTTTATACCATACGTACCTGATCTTTGTTTAACACTGGCGTCTGTGGTGT